TTCGTGTACAACGTATTTAAATATTCAGCCCTGCAAAGTTCATATCTTGAATATTGCAATTCAATTATTATCAAACTCTTGATAAGTCAATGTGACTACTGACATCTCAACCTGAAGATTGAGCATATGAAAGTTAGTGAGAATTACTATTTGTATTTGCAAAAGAACTATCATGTCAATTACGAATATTCTAATGAATATCAACGGGATACTTATGTGTGAAACTATTTTATTATGGTCTAGAAGAACCTTGATAAATGTATATAATTACATGTTTTATATTAATTCATATGAAATTGAAGAATGACATTAATGATATCAAGTTTTGTCATCAAATTATTATTAATGAAGTTTGATCAAATAATGATCATCAATTTCTATCAATAACGACTTCCAGAAGAAGTCATAATCGTATTAGTTTAATTTTTAAATCAACTACTAAACAGATCGAGATTTGAAATAATGATATTTGAGATAAACAAATGTATAGTGAAATGAAGACACTTCACATGTTCACGAGAAGACTTGAAGAATTGAAGATGCAACTTCAGTTTAAGAGAATTGAAGATCAACTAATGATATTTTACTTAATACATATGAGAAGATATGCAAACATATTGGATACATTGTTGAGGCACTAGAAAATCTCAAGTTATGTATTCATCAGGGGGGGAAAATACGCGCTGCACTCTTTTTCCCTTGACCATGGTTTTGTCCCACACTGGGTTTTCCTGGTAAGGTTTTTAATGAGGCAGCATATCGAGCATATTACGAAGAATGTTGTACTCTTTTTCCTTAATTAGATTTTTATCCCATAGGGTTTTTCCTATTAAGGTTTTAACGAGGCACAATATTCGATAATGGACATCCAAGGAGGAGTGTTATGAAAATATTGTGTGGATATCCATTATCTCTTTGTATGTTTTCAGAATATTCTAGATCTTGGGTTTATTGTTATCTAAGCAAACCCTACTTATAATATTCTATGTATATATACCCCTATCATATGGAATAACATAGATAGATTAATTCTCTCTTAATCTCTCATGTTTCTCCTTATTTCACAACAATCTTTTTAATTTTTTTATAAATTTTGTTAGCTTATTTTAAGTGAAAATTCTACTGAATATAAAAATTCAAACTTTCAATATACAAATAAATAAGCAACAAAATATACAGAATAATTTTATTGATAATTTGTGGATTATAGTTCCATTATCGGCTTATTCTATACTACTTTATATAAGGAGGAAATAAGGTCTTTGAGACTTATTCCATCCAAGCCTATCGCGGAGTTGCAAACAAGATAGTTATAAATATTATACGAGATTCTTAATAGGAGAACCCAAGTTGGAGACATTATTCTCAAATTTTAAGTGGAAAATCCCGCAAGATATGATGGCAGTTAAAATGAGCCAATTTGAAGTGGTGTTAAAATGACACAAATGCTAAATTTCTAACAAATAAAGAGGGCAAGTAATCTACAGCTTGTTCTACAAGAAAATCCTTTGTTCTGTTAAAAGAGATATGACTCATATGAGTAGCAGACTGATCAAGTAGAGACAAATAATCCTATGCTCATGGATAGACAGTTAGGTTCCCCAACCGATGTCGTGTCAATTGAGCTTCAGAATGCCCGCAATTGCTCTAAAAAACGTGCCAACACCAAAAATTATTGAACCCAGTTGGAAGTACAGAGAGAACCACTCTATTTTCAGCCAATACCCCCAGTAAATCTTGCATCTATTCCACGTTTAGTAATTTAACATTTAAGTTATTATAATTATATGTGTTAATAATATTCAATATAATATACATGTAGTTTCATGTAATTTGTTAATTTATAATTAATTATAATATAATTTCTTTAATTTTAATTTAATTTGAAGTCACTTGTATAAAATTCTAGATTCACCAATGCACATGAATTAAATTAGACACCATGAATGACATCATGGTCAAATCCCACAAAACAACCTATATGATGAAAGTCAACTTATTAAACCTCCACACCTAAAGCACCATAAAATTGAGGATGTAATCACTAGAGTTGTTAACACAGAAAATCCTTTGTTAAAGGGATATGAGTCATATGAGCAGCATATTCCTCAGGTCAATCGTATCTTCCTCAACCAATAAAAGGTTGTGCCAAACGGAATCCCTGCTACCAAAAACATAACCACCAACATAGTAATCGATCCCTCCTGAAATTCATTTAGCTTTGATGAATTCATTTAAGAACTCGTAGTTTTGGAATCAACATGCCCGGGCATTGTAAGAAGATTTCAAGATTCGAGTAGATAAATATTATATTAGCAAACTTTGTCAAATAAATAGTTAAAATTCGAGCTGGAATCAATTTCTATTCGAGTAGAACAATGAATATCCTCTCTTAAAAATTGATTCTTTATGACCTCCTTTTCTATTGAGCATTGTTCGAAGGTGTTTTCAATCTAACTCTGTAGTTAAAATTAATTTGTATATTAACACTAATTAACTTACACAACCAATGTCTTCTCCGCTGAGCTTCAAAATGCTGGCAATTGCTCCAAAAAAAGCCACAACCCCAAAAACGAGCGAGCAGAGTTGAAAGTAGAGAGTGAAACGTTCTCTGTCAGTGAGCGGAAGTGGCGGCGGCGACGGCGACGGAGCCCGATTCTCTTCACCTCCGACATTGCCAATTAGTATTATGTACTCCACTACTCCATACCTAATATATTTGAGTTATTTTGCCTAAGTCTTATGTTATTTTGCTTAAAACCTTGTGTTATTTTGCTAAAATAATATGTTATTTACTTTAACATCATGTATATATAAAAAAAACATACATATATTATAATTACATGTATTTATTTAAAAGATAACATATATATATAAATTGAAATAATATGAGGTTCACATCAAAATAACATGAATTTTATAAATTTGGAGTACAACAAAAGAATCAATGTTGAAAAAAAAAACAACATACAAATTAAAATAACATATAATTATTTTAAAATAACATATATATAAATTGAAATAACAAGAAGTTCATATTAAAATAACCTAAATTTTATAAACATGGAGTGCCGTGTGCATGATACTTCAGGAGTAGCATAGAATTTGCGAATTGATTATAGTAAGGAAAATATGTCAAATAACACCTTTTATAACCCCTTTGTTGTGAAAAAACACCTTATAATTTTTTTTTGTAAAAACACACCTAAAACCAGATTTTTTTTTTTTGCGAGAACACACCTTACGCTGGTTTTAGGCCATTGACTTTGGTTTAACGGCGTTGACCCCCTCACGTGAGTGTCACGTGCTTTGAATACCCTGTTTCTCTCTCCTCACAGCCACCACAACCACAAACTAGCCAACCCTAGCCGCCAACACCACCGCCTAGCCACCACTAGAACCACCTCTTAGCCGCGGATTCCACCACCCAGCAACCTAGCGGCCATCACCCCCCACGGCCCACCCAAATCACTCTAAACTTACCTAGAAAATCCCCCTCCCCTTCTTCATCCATATAACAACTAGGCCATCCTCAGCTCCTCCAATGACGGCGCAACAATCCACGGCATAGAGTGACCACCTTAACCATCAAAATCAAGATTAAAGTCAGTAATTTGTGGATTTGATGTGGGTTTTTGTTGGGGATTCTTGCTTCATTGTTAGATCTAAGGAAAAGTTGTTGAAAATTGCAGATCTTAAGGAGGGAGTGAAAATGGAGGAGAGAGAAAGATAGATGCGATTTTTTGGGTGGATTTTTTGTTATTTGGGTGGGTGGTTATGGTGGCTAGTTGATTGGTGGTGGTGTCCACAGTTGAGAGGTGGTTCTAGTGGCGGCTAGGCGGTGGTGTCGGTGGCTAGGGTTTTCTAGGCTTGTGGTCGTGGTGGCTTGAGGAGAGAGACCCTCACGTGAGTCTCACGTGACGAGTCAACGCCGGTAAACCAAAGTCAATAGTCTGAAAACCGGGGAAGGTGTGTTCTCACAAAAAAAAATTTATAAGGTGTTTTTTGACAACAAAAGGGTTATAAAAGGTGTTATTTGACAAATTTTCCTAAAATGAAATAGGTTGGGAATAAATAGCATAGTTCCCGGTTCGACTCCTAGTTTCCTACCTAAACATTTTACTGCTTTTTTTAAAAAAAAAAAAATCTTGTTTTTGAACTTTAGTGATTTTTTTTTTTTGTTATTAATTTTTTAAAACAAAATCTAAGGGTTTTTATTATTTTTTTTTTTTAGAAACTAGAAAGACCAAAAAAGAAAATCTCGACACCTAGCCTTTCCATCCATCTAAACCTGGGAACCTTCACAATTCTTCAAGCATCTAACAAACCCACCAAAAAATGAAGTTCCCTGACTATACTAGCCGCATTGTCCTTGCTTGACCAAGAACCGTCCAGAACCAGACAGACAGCCAAAGGAGTAGAAGAAACTCCAGAGATCCAATGGGAAGAATCTCCAGAATGGGAAGAATCTCCAAAGATCCAATGGGAAGAACTAGGATGAGCAGGAAGATTCCGAATTATGTAGTGAGAGGAAATAGAAGACAGGAAATGTTGAGCCGACTTGCATCTGGAGTCCCAAAGTGGAGCGAGACTAAAAATATCCGCAGGGGACACACTCTGCTGACGGAATCTATAGTTATTGCTCGAGAGCCAAATTGCCCAAAGATAGTAAACAAGACCACTAAGTTATTCCAATCTTTAGAAGAGTGATAAACCGAAAATCCCGAAATTGTCTCCACCAACCATTAAAGAACAAAATCTAAGTTGCGTTTATAAAATTAGCAAAAGCAACAAACGCCTCCGGAGCGTCGAATAAGCTAACTAAAAGTACAAATATTAAATTAATATGAACATTAATTACACCGATTATATTTCCAAATTAATATTTCTTTAGGAAATATTTTAAATGCTTATTTAATGCCCCAAGGCTCAAGGGTATTCGTTAGAAAGATCCTTGCAAATTTTATACTACATAGTCAAGATTACGAAAAGTACTTAAATTTAGTATAGCCAGTGTCAATTTTTTAGCAGTTTGCAAATTTAAGAGTCGGGATTACAATGCAATAATGACATTTTTTACAAAAAATAAAAATAAAAATAAAAAACCAAAGAGGACTTATATTGTAAGAGGATGAAAAATAGCATCCTTGAAACCCAGAATATTAGACCAAAAGTGGGTACAAAAAAGGCAGCCACAAGGATAAGATGGAAAAAACTATCCTCAGGTACCCAGCATCAACCTGAACCAGAAGAAAGTAGAAAGCTGAAAATAAACAAACATAAACTAAGTAAACTAAATAATCTTTAAAGATAAATGGGTAGCCTAGCAGTGGCTTGGGAAGCAGAACTTCATAAGCTTCAGTTTCCATCAGTCATGGCCACAGGCCAGAGGGTCAATTCTTCAGTGTAGATCTGCGTCAGGCGGGAGAAGAGGCGTAATGGTAATGTCAGCAAGACCATGGGCAATTTTGTTTGCTGCCCTTTAAACATGAAGCACATTAACACTCCAATCTCTACGAAGCAATAGAGCAAGATCATTCACCAGAACAGCAAGTTGGTGGTCTAAGTAGTCCTGCGGGTTTTCAGTCATGTAGCGAATGGCTTCAGCATCTGTTTCGAGTTATAAGTACCTGATTCCTTTGTCCCATGCAGCAGTAAGCCCTTCTCGGATAGCTATTAGTTCAGTGGAGGCTGCCTCAAGAGCAATGATCTTCATAGTGTAACCAAATTGCCATTTACCTTGATGGCATTGAATGATACCCCCCTGCATCAGAATTTCCCAGACACCCACGAACCGTCAGTGTTAAGTTTGAAGTAACCCCTTTGAGGAGGAGACCAAACCCTTGATTTAGGGCCCTTGTTTGAATAGGGAGCATTGGAGATAACCTGAGAAATTGTTAGAATATAATATTAATTATATTCTATTTTATTGTATATATCTATTTATGCCATGTATTGAATGAAAGCAAGCAATTACAGCTAATCTACAGCTATCCTTCCTATTTACATGCACTAGATAAATACATGGCATAAATAGATATATACAATAAAATAGAATATAATCAATATTATATTCTAACAGAAATTACATGTATTTCAAAGTACCAAAAAGACATAATTTGAGTAAATATATGATCATAACAATAAACACTACTCACAAGTCACAAGGCAAATTGCTTGAGCAACTGACTTCAATGATATTAGTTTAAAGTCTGTACACTGGAAATCATAGTTTTTTAACATCTAGATTCTAATGTGAATGAGATTATCATAATTCGAAATTGAAGATCTAATCAAAGCTATAACAGGATGCAAGGAATCCAAAATAAATAAGAGGACCTTTTGCACATACACAAGGGCACATTCTCATCACAAAACTTGACATGTTGCCGAGATACACTCAATTTCTAGTGTCCACGTCAAATCTAACACGAGTCCAGTCACAGACCCTCTCCAAATGGCAATGACCCAACTCCTCTTCCTTTCGCTTGCATTAGGCTTTTCTTCTTTCCTCATCACCATAACGTTCAAAACTACTCCATTTACTTCTAGCGTCAAAGCAAGCAGGTGGCGGCGTGTTATCCTGAAAAAACTCCATTATGACATCAAACAGAAACTCAGTCTTTTATCAATCATAAACTATTCATCAACACGTAGAATATATATCTTGATTCCTCATCCAAACAGACACCAAGATTAGTTGTTTTTCAGGTAACTTATTGAGCTGTCTATTCTTGTTTCAATTTGTGCCTAATATTTTTGGGATTGTTATACACCTCTCTCCTTCAAGACCCTGATAAAACAAACTCTACATTAGTGGAGGCGAAGCACACTCTCCTTAGAGAACCCATACTTCAATTAATAGGTTAGTTAAAAACCCAGTAAGCAATTTGGTTAGAGGAAATTTTGCTCTAAACACTTGCACAGGTCAAGAACAGAACCTATATTTGCTAAGACCAAACTTATTCTTCTAAATAGAACATACAATTGCACAATTCAAGCTTTTCCAGAATGCATTGACAGTAATGATAATCCAGCAAAAGAAGAATATTGGTAAATAGTCGACACACCCTCACTTGTTCCACATAAGGAACTGGAACTTTAAATTCGCCAACATTCATATCTCCAAGGATCGAGATAGACAAAGGCCACCAGGCCAACACCTCAAAGGACCAATCTGTATCGGCATTGAACAACATGCTCCAATAAGTAACAAAATAGAAAGGAGAAAAAAAAAAGTGGAGCTGAAGGCAAAATAATTAAAAATTATGCATAATGCATAAGGTAAAATCTGTTGCACATTATGCTCCAGATTTTAGTACTTCATCCACTTCACTGGAATTTAGTCTAAAGAAGAGGCATCCAAATAGGGGCCAATAAGCCTTAGGCATACATTCAGCATATATTAACTACAAAGTCCAGCCAAAATGATAAAAACCAATGGGGTAGACCAAACAATTGAATGTGCATTTTTTAAGGTCAGTTATAAAAGGATGTCGCCCATCCATTTATTCATTTTGTCTTCCCTAGGAAGACAGGATTATGAGCAGATGATATCCAGCACTTGTATCCCTTTATTACTGCAGATTTACATTTACTTTTTCATCCAATAAAATGTAGATAAACATTTTACAGGTAAAAGAAAAAATTAATTAGGTACCTAACTAAGCACATAGATTCACTGATTCACTAACTCAAGCTCAGAAGTATCCCTACACTTCATTTTTTTCCATAGAAACCTATTTTGGACAAAACCTAGACACTAACATCTTATATAATAAGAAATCCTGGACACTAACATCTTATATTATAAGATAGGAATATGTTTCACCAAATCTCTCCAAAATTTTAATGGTATATATGTATCAATCTATCCAAAACTCTTCATATCATACTTTTCAAAATCTAAAATACCTATAGCAAATAAAAAATATAGAAAAATATATATAAAAAAAAAAGACAATGGCTCTGCCAAATTATTTTTTATGTTTATTTGGATTGTCAATATACCAACTACCAAGTGCATCAACACGAACATACCCAAACAAACAAATAAAAAACTATTAACCTCGAATACATATAACAGACATTTCAAATAAGTCTTGAGTTCTTGATACATAAGGCTACAAGATGGATTACAGTGAATAAAGAATCATTTAAAAAACTATATCAATTCAAGCAAGAAGATACAGTGAATGACCTGCAAAATCAAAAGAGAGAAGAATAGGTTTCCAGGAGAAAAATAAATTTAAAAAAAAAAAAAAGCTACCTCTGTTCCACCACCAGTATTAAGCCGACCAACTTCACCTCCACAGGCTGTAACACGATCTCTCCTGATTAATAGTTAATTGAAATGTTAGCCTTAACAACAGTAGTACACAATTAAGGTGACTAATAGAACTATGTTGTGCCTGCAACTTACTCTTCCTCATTGCTCTCAAGCCTGTGATCAGCAGATAAACAAATTATATCACCCTCAGCAGATTCAAGAATACAACGTAACAACAAACAGCTCCTGCTCCATAATATATTCAATTAACAAAGAGAATGCACCACTAAATTGGAAACTCTCTGTGCATCCCGCATGTAGGTAAACAACAGCCTCATAGAGGTGTTCTGAATCTTCTGATATGTTATATCTACATATATTTGAACAAAACTATCAGATAACTACTTAGCTAGCTAGCAATAGAAGGGAATAATAATTTATAATTAAATTAATAAAGCACTGACACTCCATTTGTCCCTGAAAAAAGGCCATAATGGCCCTCAATCTGTTTGGATTGCGCCAAAAATAATTCATCTAATCTGTTCAAAATTTGAACATTCTTGTAGGACAAAACCCTAACAAATAATTTCAAGGAAGATTACCCAGTGGCATAGCAGAGAAAAAACAAAAGTTTTTACTGTGTTATTGTATTTTGTTTTTTAACAAAATTTTTAAGCAAAATTATGGTACTAATAATTTTAAGCAGTGTTAAGCCACATGATTGGAGGAAAAGCACGTTAAAACCAATATGTAAGAACAAAGGTTATGCTCAAGATGGCTCAAACTATCAAGGAATAAGCTCATGAGTCACACCATGAAACTATGGGAGAGAGTGATAGACTTTAAATTGAGGACATGTACGAGGATCTCACATAACCAAAATGGGTTTATGACGGGACGGTCTACCATGGAAGTAGTACATTTGATAAGGCAAATAATGAAGTATTATAGGGCGAGGGAAAAGGGTTCACATGCTTATCATTAACTTGGAGAAGGCTTATAACAAGGTGCCAAGAGAAGTGTTTGGGTGGCCTGGTGGGCAATGACTAAGAAGAGTATTCCTCGAATAAATTCCAGGTTCCAAATTAATATATTATGCAGCAGTAAGTAGTTGTCTAACAAGTATTAAACCCCAATGCACATAATCAACTTGCAAAGACACCAAACCTTGTGAAGAACCAACAATCAAACTACAATGTTAAACCCCAAAACCTCTACAAACTGAATTTCAAAGCAACAACCTCAGATTATCATCAACACCCAAGAAGAGCATAACAAATAGAAAATAAACTGAAGGTCACAATGCACTAAACATTAAATAACTATGTAAACACATTATTGTACAATGTTAGAATTGCTGAGTTCTGATATACAAGAAGTTGAGATCTGGTAAATCAATTTGTACAGGGTATTAGCTTGTGAAACAAACCAAAAACAAAGATTTGATTAATCAAACAAGATATGGTAAACTAATTGCAAACCCCAGATGCTCAAATCCGTAAAATTCTGTTGTTAGTTATATAAATATAAAGCAAAATATTGGAGAAAAAAAGTTATAAAGTAAGAAAATTTGACACTAGAGTAAGAATAATAACAAAAATGAATGAAACCCAAAAATAACCAGAAAAAAGAAGAAGATGGATAAATAGAGCTTGGTTATACCCAATAATTCATGTTTTTGTTGTCCCTCATCACTCTCCCTACTCCCCTTACTATAAAGTTTCAGGAATTCTCTTGCAACTTTGATCCCAAATCCAGATTTTAATAATTTCTTTTTTTCTTCAATTTGAAGAAACCCACCTCAATTTTTCTTATACTCCACAAGAATGATGTACATGGAGATTATATATTCACCCACCTCAAAAATTTCTTACACTCCACAAGAATGATGCACAATTGTACATGGAGATTATATACTGAACAAGAGGATTGAAAACATGGGACTGTTGTTCTCTTGCATAACTTCCATTTCTGAATTATATATTTACAATTAAATAGATTAATTAACTATTAAACATCCTTCAATTTCACACTTTCATCAATTCAGATTGGACACTGTTGTTCCCTTGCATGTGCCCCTCAAATTAATTTTCCCACCTCCCCTTCCAATTATTTTGGACACTTTTAAATATTCTGTAAAGTTTCCAGCGTTAATAATAACTGTAAAAGAAGCTGATTAAGTAATTGTACTATTCGAAGTCTAATAATGTCGTATAAACTAAAATTCGGTGCGGCAAACTTCTGGAAAATTTGCACAGAAATTACATAAAAATAAATAAATAAAATAAAAAATAAAATAAAATCATACCCACACTATGACCCTCCGTCTCTCGTCGCTGACAACAGCCGCTCATTAGAGGCGGAGCAACCAAGCGAATTGCCCATCAATTCAACATCATACTCACATCATACTTTAATGTAGCTTCTGCACTTTCGATTGTGACTTTGTCATTGGTGGAATCATGATTTGGGAGACCAATCAAGCTTCGGAAAAGGATATATAAGCTGCACAACATCGAAAAAAATTGTAATTAAGCATCATAAAAAAAATTACTCCGTATATAAAGAAAGTGATGGAATTATTCAATGGAGTGAAATATTTTACTCATACTCTTCATTTCACCTTAAGTACCCATGTCAGACCCTTGACACTCGGACATGAGTAGGACACTTAGACACTTCATTTTAGTTCAAAATCATGGATAGATTCCACAAAATACCCAAGTTCGACACTTGGACACATTATCATAGCGAGCATATATATTCGCAAACTCTTTTGGATTTACATATGAACCTAGTCATTTCATCTCCTGCCATGCCAAAAAAGTAAAGAGTAAGATCTATGGAGACAAATTCAAAAGGAACGAACATCTTGTAAGCAATTTAAGGCCACTTGACATTGTCCACATCAATTAAAGATCTAACTTGGTATGGCATACCAGTGATATCACAGCATATTGGCATGTTATGGAATCCAAGATTATAAGTGAGAAACCCATGTGAAATTGACTAAGTGACTAACTACTAGCACATCATACAGCTTCAAGAAAAGCAGTGTCTTTTAATGTCAGAAAATATCAAAAACATTCTGAACTTCATTCAGCAGTCCAAGTTGCTCGAATTACCCCTTTCTTACCCTCTAAAGTCTAAACAGCACGAATCTGACTGAAAACAGACACAAAAACAACCTTCATAAAGAAGTCCAAGTTGCTCAAAATATCAGGAAACGTGCAGAAAGAACAAAACACTTGAGGGGTCAAACTTATTAAAATCATGATTTTCTGTTTGGTATCACAGCCATTTTCTGTTTTTTGGTTTTTTCTTTTTCAAAATCACACTTTCTCCGTTTCTTTATAGTTGCAGCACTTCCCTAAAATGGAAATGTCACAATAGTTGCAACACACTATAATTGGAAAGTATTTTATGTCAAAAGTTGTACTATTATCCTTATTTTAATCTCATGGCCCACTAAATTATACTCTTTAACAATCTCTCTCCTCCATTTTAAGTGTTTTAAATTACATGAGACCTACTTTTCTTAAATACGGTGAAAAAGGGTATGTTGCAAGTAATAAGAAACGGAGAAAGTATAATATATGTCATATAATGAATCAAAAATCGGTCAACTTATTAAAATCGCGATAATTTTGAAAACCGACAACAGACGAGTGGAAACACCTTTTACTTGTCCTGTTTTGGGTTTTTGTTTTCAAAAAATTAGAAAACTGAAAACAAAAAACAATGCCAAACAAACAAGAATAGTCGATTTTGTTTATTGACATCAAACTGAACTAAAACATACTTCGTATATATTTAGAAAAGGATTTTTAGGTTTGAAATGTAATTGAAATATAAAAAAGAACTTGATTTGAAGCAACTTGCATGATTTGCTTGGAAGATATAAGAAATTAACTTCAAAGTTGTGCGTTTTTCAATTGATTTTATCTTTCACTACCAGTTCCTCATATGCATAGACGGAGGGGTTGATACTTATAGTACAGAGATTCAATATCATAGTTCTTGGTGTTGGGATAATGAAGAGTTTTAAAAATTATTTTTAAAAAAATTATAATGAATCAAGCTAACACACCGCCTGTTCTTTACACTTGCAGCAGGAGGCAGAACAAAAGGGATAGGCTAAAACACCACAACAAGGGGAAGCCCAACCTTAAAGCTGCAGTAGCTGCTATTTTGGCTCATTATCTGCCATATTCATATATATAGGAGGAGGGTAGTAGAGAGAAAATCCATACAGAATTTGTAATTGGGGAAACCTTAGAGAGTTATGGCCTAAAGCCATCGTTGGATGATTGAATCTTTCAACTTATATCAATCAAATTGTCTAACTTTATCAATTTCCTGCATTTATTCATAGTCATACCTGGAAGGGATTAGTCTATTAAAAAATATTTATTTTTAATTACATAAATATGAAAGCACTTTTGAAAATAAAATTAATTGTATAGCTTTTGTGAATATGTTTTAAGAAAATACGGCATATAAGTGATCAAATTTAAATTTCAAAACCAAAACATACTGCTCATCTTGTAAAAGAATGGAAGGAGTATGTACTTGGAGACTTGGAGTATATGACTCTTCACTAGTTATTTTCAGGTAGTACATAATTGATCATACAAAAATTTGGGATCACCTTATTAGCTGTTTCGGAGTATTCAGATACTTGAGCTCAGGTAGTTCTCACAATCCATGGATTCATGTAGATCTGCATAACACTTTATAAATACTCAACACCAATTAGCAATCACCAAAAAGTCTAAGGGTGTGAGGTGTCTGATCAAGATAAGCAATTTCATGAATTCTACAGTTCAGATTGTTACCCGAAAGGATCTTGAGCAAGGATAAGCCCATTGCTACAAATTTGATCTAACAACTTCTACCAATGTTCACCAGTGGAGTGAGAAATGCAACGTTGAAGAACACAACGCCCAAGCCAATGAGTAGCAATCTCAACACAGAACTTTGCAGCCGCGTTTAAGATGAACTGCCACGTAAAAATAATGTAATATGGTGAAATAAGTGCAGTAAGACTAAAGGAGTCATATAGCTAGTCCAAAAAATTTAATTCTTTTCATTGTATCAAGTAAAGAAGAACTCAATATCACACACTAACAAAAGGCGGACATACTAATCAGACATATAATTGATATTAATGACATCAGCTACGAATGGGTAATTGAAAGCACTTTTTAATGACTAAGATTGTGTAAAAGAAAAGCTTCATCAAAAAAAAAAAAAAAAACATGCACACCAACTAATGATGTCAAATTGAAGCAGAAACTAAGATGAGAAGTTAATTTAGTCAATCTTCTCTTCGTCATAACAGCCTCATTTAACTGATATATCAAATTGCAGTATTCATTACTGTCTACCACGTTAACAATGCAAATACTTAATCTACATGAAAATCTTATCAAACAACCCATTCTATACATCAGCTACAATGAAAACAAGGAACAGTTGTAACAATCTCCTAGCAATTGTAAGAGTTAATACTTGCTCATTGACATGAAAATAATTAGGCAAAAATAATAATAACTACAATGCAAAAGATGTGCATAAATTCTGTGAGTAAACAAATATCTTTCATGAATAATGTACATGTTATCCACAACTGATTTGAGGAATCAGCTAAATAAGAGTAAGAATTGCTTCACTCACTTTTGAGGAGAATATAATCTATTTTAGTCACCTAGGCAATCTCAAGTATTGTTTGATGACCAATACCTTATTAACATCACTGCTAAGGCATTGAAAGCAACACTGGAAAACATGATTCCCATTCAGATCTTTTATAAGATCAAGAAATACTGATTCAAGAGCTCAAATCACCATTGAAATCTACTTCCTTGATTTGAGGCTCTCGATCAATTTCTGCACCACTCATGACCTTAAAAAAAAATTTAAAATTAATTAATTAAAAAAAAAAAAAAAAAAAAAAAAAAAAAAAAAAAAAAAACTCCTCATTATTGGAAATCATTGGCAAAACTATATAAATAAGGCTAACAAGGAATAATCAATTCATTATGTTGAATAACAATTCCCATGTGTATTTAAGGAAATTTTGACAAGCTCTCCATGGTTTTTGGTCACCACATGTACAATCCTCATTCTTTGTTCAAAACTGCAGACATCTGTATGAGACAATTTCCAAAGACATCCATCATCATCAGCTCAACAACATGGTTAATAATGAACAATCATTTCTGAATTAGAGTAACAGAAAAAGGGAAAAAAATGAACCCAAAGTCCAGTACGGCTGACAAAATAATCTTCAAACAACTCTTCAGAGATTATTTTTAGCCCAAATCAAGACTTGAGAGTGTCAAAACCTTAATTAAACATTGTAAAATCCAAGTTCTTAATAAAACAACCATCTCAAATCTCAATTAACCATCATTGTAGTAGAAGCCCCTGACCAAGACCACTATTCAACCATATATTCTAGCACAAGAACAACTAAGTCATTCATGAGAGTGTCCTTGAAACCACCATGTATTGCTTTACAGATTGCAGTTCGACACAGTTCAGTGATATGAAGTGTAAGTCTCTTCCTGATAACAGAAAAGATCAATGCAATCAATAAGATATATATATTAAAAAAAAAATTAAAAAAACATTTGACCTTTAATTATCAGTGCTACTGATGAATATGTGGAGGCCCCTGATTGCTACTGATGAATATGTGGAGGCCCCTGATTTTTTTTTTTACTCCCCTACCCAACCTACCTTTTTGTATCATTCTCTACATCTCTTCAGGTTGAACTATCAAAACATATTAACGTTGAGCTATCAGCAAACTGACGTCACAAACACCATTCTTCATGACACATTCAGATCATCCCCTCCCCCCTACCCCAGCCCATGATTCAATAATGGTTTGGCCATGTTATAATTCGGTACTCAAACTTTTAAAAGCCTTTCATCTTACCCCATCACAAATCCAATTTATGCAATTATAGGTCCCAAACGATCTTATATCAAACACCAAAATATGAGTTAATGAAATAATGTTAATATCTGCATAAATGGGAACAAATAATCCTTGGTCAGCCAACAAAACAACAATGGCAAACTTAACTTTAGCAATCTAAATCACAAACCTGAAGGTAAAAAAAAAAAAAAGAGGGGGAGGGGGAGGGGGGGGAAGTCAATTTCAAAAACAAAAGATAAGAGAATGCTAGAGATCAGCCCAGTCCCAAGGTCCGGTTTACATATGCAAGAAGGAAGCCCAAGCAAGGAGCTGTTAGAAGAGAGTGAGCTGGTTTTGGGTGAGCTGGAAGTTAGTTACAGGGAGGGGTAAATCAGTAATTAAGAAATAAGTTTGTAAGTCCTTGTTTTGTGTGCTGAGTTTGTTATGGCAGCTTGTTAGTTATCTTTGGTTATTTAAGGGAATAATTGTAGAGGGAATGTATCTAGAAATCATTTGTGGAATTCATTCCTTGGGAGAACATCCTTTCCTCTCAAAAGAAAGGAGTTGTATTGTAGTTACTCTGACTTGCAATACAATCTATCTGGTTCTAGCTAATTTTCTCTCTAATTTGCTTACTTGCTCTGTTTTTCTGACCCAATTCCTAGCAGAGAAAGCAGAAAAATTATGACTAGATCGAGGGATAATAATTACATTAAAAATAAGATTAAGTTGAGTTGCTTACCTTAGTGTGATAGACACTACTTGACTAGAATTCTCTCTGCCCTACTTGATTCCTAACTACTTTATATCCTCTTTGAAATGTTTTAATTTTTCATAATTGTAGTTATAGAACAGTTCCTTGCACAATCACAATATAAAATGAAACTAAATACTATTGACACCACCATATTTCAATGCACTAAAATCCCACAAAACAATAACAATTGTACAACTCACTTGAATTCATTATCAACAAGGCAAAAAGACACAGAGATCATCATTATCATTATCAATAACTTGATGATGTCATTTCTCCATCTAAAGTTGAACTAACAGCTTATTATCAGTTATTCCATTGTTCTAGCCCATAGCACAATTCACTCTTACAACAAAGCTGAATAAATAAAGACAAATTTTAACAATACCATGCATAATCAGCTTGTTCAATCTTCCACCTTCAATTCACCCTCACCTTCAATTCCCAAGACTGCTGGTCAGCTTCAGCTAAACCCTGCCTCGTTTTTTCCATCACATTACTGAACCCCAAAATCTTAGGCATAACGTTGCACCTAACCCTGGAAATCTCACCTGAACAAACTAAACAAATTTAAATAAAATTAACAAAGGTTTTTTAAAAGGTAATTAGAAAAGATAAATTCAAAAATAAATAAATAAACTAGAAAGATCAGTATAAAGATTATAAACCTCATTTGACCCAACCGATCTGTTTGACAGAACAGACATAAACAGTATGCTATAAAAACATTATTCCTTAAAATATACAGTATATATCACCATAATTGTGTCTGTACCAAAATACTTCCTCCACTGGATCATGTCAGCCCAAATTGCTTTGAATTTTCAGACCTTCGAGCCTTCAAGAATATGTCAAATATTACTTTATTAGTAAATAAAATTACAAATAAGAAAGTTATAACTTTTAAACAATTTCCTGAACTCAAAATACAATAGTTGGCTCTACTTCAGCAAAATGCATAACAGCAGCAAATCATGAATTCATGGATGGATGACAAACTGGACTCTGGTAATTTTTTTCATAACTGAGGGTTCTTACAAAGATCCCCTAATTTCAGTTCTCAACACATGCAACACATCACTAATCACATTTCCCATCTCCTATTCCCCCACAAGAATACAAGCTCAGTATCTCCATAGTATATACAGTAGTTAGGAATCCAACAGAGGCACAAAAAGAGAGGGATAGAACTTACACACGGGCCTTCCCGTTAGAACTTACACGCGGGCCTTCCTGTTATGATTGTTCTAGCTTGCACTTACACAAAAGTAGAATACAGCCAGATGATGCTAATCAATGAGCTTATCCAGAAAATAACAAGTAGCAAAACAAGGAATTGATGAATATCAATCAAGTCCCTGTAGTCAGCATATTCCATCAGATAAACCCCGCCTCACCGGTGACCACACTACACACCCAGATCAAACACAACTAAGCAGAAATTATTAAAGAGACGCGATATCTCAAGGAAACCAAACCACAGTTTGTAAAGCTAGTGAATTACTATTACATGTTACATAAGAAGGATAAGTCTTAAATGATGGCTCAAATCATCTACGTTAAGCAAAACCATATAAGTCCTCGTGTTTTATGCATAATTCAAGCTCGAGTAAAACTAGCGATGTGTCTAACGGCCAAACCTAATTCATTGGAATCAAAACATAACCAGTAAATATTGCAGGGTCAAAAGTACTTTACCAAATTCCTCACTGTTAATAGTTCATCAGTTAATGGTAACCCTAACACCAAACTAACAAAATTGGGAAAGCAAAATCCTATAAACAAAATTAGCAAGAGGTTGTTGATCAATAATTAGCAGGATTAGATTTAATTTCACTTGGATCAACTCATACACAAACAACAAACTAACAAAATTCCAATTTGAATCACCAAATTAAAAACCTAATCTTCAACTCTCGTACCTTAGTATGGTCCAAAAACGACAATCCAAATTCGCCGAATGCAATTTTTCATCTCTTCAAATTCTCTCCTTCTTCGCATCCAAAATCAATTTTCTTCATCAATTCGTGGCAATTTTAAAAATTCATATCGAATTGGTTTTTAGAATTTGGTTCTATAATAAGATGGACAGCTTCAAGATTTTTTTTTACTTGAAGTCGGTCCAGGCTCAGCCCACTCTTAAATTTTTTCGCGAGCTTGGTCATATTCATTTTTATGATTGTTTTGTTACTTTTTGGTTAGGGTAATCAATTTTTGGCCTAAAACTTGGTCCGGCACTCCGGCCTGAGCATGCGGCTGATTTTACTAGCAAGTCTGCTCAAATTTTAAAAAACACCTAGGTGCACCATGCCTATACTTTTGAACATTCAGTAAAAAAAATCTCAACAATTGCAGAATTTGAACATGTAGTAAAAAAAACTGAACATTGCAAATTTGAACATTTAGTTAAAAAATATGAACAATCGCAATACATCACGCATATACTTTTGAATATTTAGTAAAAAAATCTGAACAATCGTGAATTTTGAACAATTAGTAACAAGATCCAAACATTGCAAATTTTGAACATTTAGTAAAAAAATTTGAACAATAGCAATGTAGCACGCCTAAAACTTTTGAAGATTTAGTAAAAAAAAATATATGAACATTAACAAATTTTGAACATTTAGTAAAAAATCTGAACAATTGCAAATTTTGAATTATTACGTGTCAGACAAAATTTGAAAAAAGAAGTTTGTCTGACTCATAATAATTTAATAGTTTTGTAAAATAAACTGAACATTTACTGTATACAAAATGAAAATTTCTTTATAAAATATGAACATAAAAATTGCATGTTTAAATTAAATTTTTGTGACGTGTTCATATTTTTTTTACTAAATGTTCATTTTTTTCTAAAATGTTCAATTTTTTTTACAAGATGTTCAAAAGTACAGACGTGGTGCACCTATTTCTAGGTGCAGCATGGTGCACATAATAATAATTGGCAAGTCTGTCCCGCACTCCTGCCTCACCTCTAATTTATTCGGTACTTTTTTCGTTTCGTAATTATTGCAATAAACTTATACGGAGTAGGAAAAATATAGGGCGGGGACCAAAAGAGAATAATAAAAAAAAATGGAGTAGTATAAGTGAGATTGGTAGGAGAGAGAAATAATAATTTAGTAGTGAGACCTAAGAAAGTGTTGCAATTATTATGAAACAGATGTAAAAGGAAAGTGTTGCAATTATTACAAAACAGAAAGAGTACTAAGATTGAATTGAATATTATTAATTAGTCTAATTACTTCCTCTGTACTTTCTAGGTGAAATGTTTGACGACTTTATTTTGCTCTACTCACATAATTCGCTTTATTGAAATTTACAGTAAAGAAGAATGAAGAACACTTGAATAGAGAGAGAAAATAAAGAGAAGAAGAGAAGAATATTATTGATCAAGCTTGCATGTATACCTAGGCAACTGTTCATACGATTTCTCCCAATCACCAAATATATTAGTGATTACCTTTTGTTTTGCTAGCCATGCCCTCTTGTAAGTTATGGTGAATTCGATTCAATCCTTATTAAATTAATTGTACAATAAGACGAATTGTAAGAAAAGGGTCGACATACAGGATCTAAGATGATATTGCACACAAATTCAGAAATGAGATTTCGATGATCACCTCATGTAACGTCACCTACACAATTATTTGCATGCGAACCATTATACTTCAAAACTTGAAAAAATGGTAGCACTAGGTTAAAGCTCGTGCAATAGATGCACGATTGTTAATTTATTGAAATGAAAATCAAATCATAAATATGGTATAAAAAATGTAAAGACTCTATGCACCAATTATTCAAATATGAGTAAATAACCACATATAATAGTTATAATGAACACTTTAATATTTTTTTTAAAAAGTAAAAGAATATATAAAATGTTTTGTGCACTCATGAAACAACAGTTCCCTCATTAGCTTCTTGCTTGTAAAGCTTGTATGTACCTATACAATTCATATGATTTATCCCAATCACCAAATATAAAAGCAATTACCTTTTGTTTTGCTAGCCATGCCCTCTTGTAAGTTATGGTGAATTCGGTTTGATTTTTTAATAACTTGTATTGTAACACGGATTCTAAGAGAATGATCAACTTGTACAAGATCTAAGATGATATTGCACACAATTTCAGAAAGTGAGATTTCGATGACCACTCAAGGTAATGTCACCAACACAATTATTTGCATCAGACTATTATACTTCATAACTTAAAATATTGGTAACACTATGTTAAACTAGGTTAAATCTCGTGCAATAGATGCACGATTGTTGGATTATTATAATAATTAAAACCAAATTATAAAAATGGTATAAAAATATAAAGGCGTACTATATGCACCAATTATTCAAATATGAAGTAAATAACTACATATAATAGTTATAATGAACGATCTAATGTTGTTTAATATTAAAAAAAAAGGAATAATTTAATACTTTAAAAGTTTAGTTTAGATTTTATGTAAAACAAATATCATTAATTAGACACTGGTAGTTCATTCTTTTTTTTGGTAAGAAAATACTTATGAAGTGAATCAATACTGCCTTCGTTTTTAAATACTTGCTCCACTTTCCTTTTTCGACCGTTTTTAAATACTTGCTCCATTTCCTTATTTGGAAATATTTTAAAATATTTAATTCATTTCTCCCACCTAGTGCCTAGTGGACCCAACAAATATCATATTTTATTAATTTCATATTATCTCTCCTCCAATTTCTCCACTATTTTTGCTTTTTACAATTTTGTATTCTTCCACCAACCCCACTACCTCCATATTTTATTACTTTCTCCAATTTCTCCTAAAACTCCGCGCATGGAGAAATGGAGCAAGTATTTAAAAACGGATGGAGTAGCATAATACTAAAACAGACACCGGAAATGATACGTGTCACTTCCTGATGCTGTTTTTTTCCCTCCAAAACTCCTTCTCCCTTTTTAGCAAAACAAATCTTCTATTTTTGTAATATTTGTATAATACAATTATAATAATATATATTATCTTTATAATAATTGTATTCCTTTTTAGTTTGTGTTCTATTTATTTAAAATAGTTACTACAAATTTTGAGACCTTTTAATTAATGGAGAATAAATTATAATTCAGAAGCTTGATATACAGTGGAGATCAAGTATAAACTAGCGGAGCCAAAAAAAACTACAATATTAACATTTAAATTACCATTATATTTTTTAAACAAAAATTACCATTATATAGTTGTAAAATCTTATGAAATAATAATAATTGATTTAGTTTTCTGTTAAATGTTCCTATGATAATGTTTTTTGTAACTTATAACTTTTTTTCCTTTAAAAAATCAATTAACTATTATTAAAGCAGGTGTTGCTTACATCAATCGATTTGGACATAGTCGCTATCCTTAAATAAAATTTCTCCAATAAAATATATGATGTCATCTTTAATTTTTTTTTTTTTTAGTTATTCTACTTAGCTTATTTATTGGAAGTACTATAGTTTTTTTTTTAACTAAATTAATTTATTATTTAAAAGATACAACATCTACATTGTTTAGTTTTATTGGGAATAACATACTTCATTAATGTAACATAATGTATACAATTTATAATTACTTTCAACATGACTAATAAAAAATAAATTTTTTTCTCAATTGTAGTTTTAATAATTATTTCCTCATAATTGCATTTGTTAATAATTCCACTGAATTGCTTCATTTTCATATTATATCACAAATTAATTAATGGAAAAAAGGCTACTACTACTGTAAGCGTCGTTTGAAGTGCACCTACGTAAAAGCATGTGGTGAATATGCTTGCACTCATAGTAAGCGGGAATTGACATATACGATTAGGGACAAGGAAAGTAGGGAGCCGCCAACAAGTTTTTAAGGAACTTGTAAACTGTTCACGGATCATTTAAGGCAACCACGAATAAGGGACAACGATAAGGAACAATGATTGACCCGTGAAGGTTACACCCCATTCATAATCCATGAGATTACTAACTCCATATGGTTCGGAACCACGAAAGGAGGATCGAGGATGATGGTACGAAGTGAGTCATGGAGTCACATTCGCCCGTATTGGCCTCTACTCGATTCTTATTGTGAAAAGTATTCCTGTGATCTCAAAGGCATACAAACAAAATATTCAATTCGCTCCAAAACTATTATTTAGCTAAATTGGTTGAATATTAATACAACATATAACTCTAAAATATTAGTGATCACTTCAATTTAATAATAAGATTAAAGGAACCTAAATCGGTCGTCCAAATTATCTTATTAGTCGTGATTTCCAATTACATATTCCCTTTAAACATGCAATATGGTGAACAATAATAACAATAGAATAAACATTAATATTGGAAACAATTTAACAATAAATCCAACAACATAAAACCGTTAGAAAAATAATAGAAATAAAAGGAGCATAATTCCTTACTTTGATTTTGTTTGCTTGCAACTATAAAAACAATAAACGTGTTAGTAACTTCAAGGAAAATTAATAAAGCAATAATTAAAATGAAATTAAATTAAATTAAATAGAATTGATTTGAGGCCAAACCCTCAAACAGTTCTACCTTTCACGCCGTGGTTTAAGGACAGAATCTCGGGTAAAGTACGGACTCCTTGGAGTGCTTAAGAAATGTGTTTTGAGAGAATAGGGTAGGCTAGTGTTTAGGCTAGAGCATAGAAGAGAGAATGGGAAAGTTAATTGATGCCCTATACATCATAAATGAGGGGGTATTTATAGAAAAAATGTGCTGAGGGAACACACGGAACCCTAAAAAGATAAAAACCCTAAAAATATGCACCGCGACATGGTAGAGGGCACCGTGTCACGGGAAAAGCCACCGTCAAACGGGACATGTTACCATGACACGGTGGACCATTGTGTGACGCGGGAAATATTTAGGGTACGGGGGAAGAAAACGCGTGAAGGGTTTACGCGGAAAGAACACAGGATTGCCCCGTGTCACAGCAGGGGCACCGTGTCACGGGGAATCCCACCGTCAAACGGGGTTCCTTCCCGTGACACGGTGGAAAGCTCCCGTGACGCGGGATCCTGTAAGCCACTTTTCCGTCTAAATACATTTCTAACCCTAATTTCGTTCAGCATTTTAGTGCCGATTGATAATTTCGGGCCATTTCTGATTTATTATTATTAATTAGGCTAAAATAATAAATGAAATGAATA